AACGCTTTCACAGTAAAAGTAAAGATGTTGTTTGAATTAAAATGAAAAACGGAACGTTATACAAACGAACACTGTATGCAATGTGTTAAAAAAAAAATAGATGAGTAAGTCATAATGTTCAGTGATGTATGAGTCATTGCCACAAATGACCCGTGAAGATCTCTCATACGGTTACTATGAGATAGCAAGATACCAACAATACGATAGGCAAAAGTAGCAGAAGGTTTATAAGGTTGGAAGCCACAAGCCACATTCCATCACCTGTTCAAGTAGCAATTTTATGCAATTTGTGTGATTGGTGGATGCTATCGGTAGGACAGGACATGCTTACTCTTTTCGGGAAAACCTAGTGGCATCTCTGATTTTCAATCATCCATTCATGCAATTTGCACAGCTATTTCGCGTTTTTATCTGTTTCGTCGGGAAATCGAGGCTGGTTGTTCTCTGGCGTTGACGATTTATATTTGCATGTGTTCATGACAGCTGCCACCGATAGGGCAGGATAGGCTCACCTCTTTTTCTTTAGAGAACAAAAATGCATGCTCATGATATAATCGGAATCTAGAAATCAACTCTGCTATTAGGAAAGATTTCTTATGAATATGGACAGGGTTTTCCAAAATGTATGGCGTTAGGTAAATGGGGAGATATGGAGGTAGATGTAAATGTGTCACTATAGATCTTGGCGACACAATATGCCGTCTTTGCTGAAGGTGAAGTTTCCTTATCTACTCACATGTCCGTTATATGTTTACAGATATAATAAGCATATTAAAAAACTAAATTGTTTAAACAATACAAAATATGTAATTATTGTTCTGATTGGTTTGAATGAACAATTGCTGGTTATCAGCCTCACGATCTTAGTATAATCCTAGATCCGCCTCTGCAGGCATTTATTGTTATACCTGTTGTGCAAGTGTGTCACGCCTCATTGTCTGCCCTTGGCATACATGCAGTCCAACCCGTGGATAGTCAATACACTTCCTCAAATACCATCCTACAGTCTTAAAACGTCGACGGTCCAATCAGCTGCTATGGGTGGTGTACAAATCGAATGTGTTATCCTTACCTTAGTAACATTTTGTAAGTATGAGTTTACAAGATATTGTTCATGCTGACTTAATGACACACAGGCTTTCTTCATCCAAGTGTACATTGCCCTGTAAACTGGCCAAAGTTTCTCAAAACAACATCAGTGCTAAGGTTGGAAAACCGAGTCAAGATCGAGATAAGGTTGCTTTGTGAAACTGGTGTCACTTGAGACAAAGGTAACCTTAGCTCTAACCTCAGTGGTTAAACTTAACCTAACCCCAGGCTGTTTTGTGGAACGTATCCCTGTCAATAAGAGGATGGCCATGGACCTATTACACTGTTGTGTACATCAAAGTAATAGGAATGCGTGTTACACAATATTATTAGTAAAATACCCTATGTAACTTTTTCTGCATTCATAGCTAAATGGATAGAATTATGATAGCTATTGCTAAGTCGGTAGCAACAAGTGGCCTCACACTATCATGACTACACGAGTCATACACTGTACATATCTGTTTAATCTAATGTTTTCATTTTCTTGATCATTTGAAACTTTTGCCTTTAAATATGCTCCGAGAAACAATTAGACGGGACAAAGACCTGCCCTGACTCGTGCTGTGGCGGCACGTACATTAACTTAGTACTGTTGTAGCTCCTCGAGGTGAGTCTTCAATATCTGGTGGAAATACAACTCGGCCCTGTACTAAAGTATGGTCACACAAAGCATTAAGTGATGCTACTGGTGTACGTAACACTTGGCCCTGTATCAAATAAAGTATGGTCGCACGCAGCATTAAGCACTGTTATCATACCTCTATGTCAGAATGATGAGATCTGATTGGTCCGCATGATCTTGTTAAAATACCATGTCACCCGCCCTGGAGGGTAATACATGTCTCAGCGGGGAATAAATCTCTTATACTTTGCCACGAGCAAGTAAGGCTGCACGTGGATTTCAGAGAAGGAGAATAAATAAATCACTTATAACCCGCTTCAAAGCCAAAAGCCGCACGTTTTTCCTAGTCAGTGGATGTCACGTGACACAGTCCAAGTTAACCTCACCTCAATCGGAGAGCAGTTTTCTATCAATTTTAAATTTGTGTGAATTCTTTTGCAATGTTACATTAGAAATTGTCGGAAAGATGAATTCGTCGTACTTCCAGATGAGTCTTCAATAGCTGATGTATAGAACATTCTCTCTTGTACTAAATAAAGCATGGTTCACACAGATTAAGTGATGCAGCTCCAGGTGATGCAGCTCCACTCGGCCCTGTTCTAAATACAGTATGGTCACACACAACACATAGAGCTGGATGCGAGCTGAATAGCTCGTTGGTATGAATATTTAGTCGGCAGTGTGTACTCACAAGCTACTCCTTTTGTTATCCAGTGTAGGCGACGAACTTGAAATATGTAAACCAACAGGAAGTGCATGCATGGCTAGCAGTGCATTCTTATTAAATACCTGGTATTTGTGTGCTTGTGAGCCGTTTGCTCAGTCTAAACATTAATACATACATACATACATACATACATACATACATACATACATACATACATACATACATACATACATACATACATACGTACGTACGTACGTACATACATACATTATTAACATGTTTTTATTTCCCATTTTATCAATAGAGAGATGAACACATGAACACATCCACATAGTTGATGGCGGCACACTGAAGCACATGTACCACATGTGGTGTCTCCTTTGGCAAGTAACCTTGTTCGAAATGTGCCTCTGTTCACCAAGCAGTGAGAGAGTACCCGGTAGGATGAGGTAAGATGGTAATGTGGCTGTTAACCTTCTAGCGCCTCAGAGGCAGCTTGGGTTGTATACTCTCCGGGGGGCTGAGAATGAAAATCGAGTGCTCGCTGATCTATTGACTGGTATAATAACGTAAGCGCCATATGAGCACACGAGCTGGTATGGTGTGTGGTGCCATACAAATGGACTCATTATTATTATTATTATTATTATTGTTGTTGTTATTACAAGTTACAAGGGTTTTGTGATCCTGGCACAGTCAGGCTGGTTAGGCTCATCATCAGCTCAGGGCCCTTGCCCCCTCTACACGCAGCCAAGACAGCGAATGGGACTACTCCCAGGAAGCGCTGCCTAGTCAAACCCACCCAGAACTTTTCGGAGAATGTTAAGACTCCCCAACACTGCAGCCTTCTGCATTACCCAGATTGTCAGAAGGGATGTATTCCTGGTAGAAAACCCGGGTACTCTCCCGATGTCAGCCAACAGATTGGGAGGTACCAAACCTAAGGCACCGAGGACAATGGGGACTCGGAAAATTGGTACTTGGGATGCAACCGTGACATTTCGAAAGCGAGGTCTGCATATTTGCCATATTTTTGTATTCATAATTTTCCATGACGCCCTCTATATATTGTGGGTCGTACCATGGATGGACCTCTGTGTCAAAACCACAAGCATGGCGAATACGGTAATAAAATGATCGAGCCACCCCATCATGGGGCTTAAGATACTGTGTCTGTGCCAAAGCTGGGCATCCACTGACAATGTGTTGGACAGTCTCATTAAATTCATTACATAATCTACATTTCGCATTCACATTTTGATGCAAAATCACACATTGACGGTTTCGAGTTGGAAGTGACTGGTCCTGAGCAGCAAACAGAAAGCCTTGTGTTTCACTTTTCAGGCCAGACAACTTCATCCAAGCGAAGGATCCTGCAGGATTGCTGATCTTCTCAACACACTGCACATAAACTGCAGTGGTCGTTCAGAAAGCCTCTCCTTGGGCCTCGAGTCAGGGCCGTTTTTGATATGCCACTTCGCTTGGTTGACACTCATTTCTGTACCGTCCAGCAGTACAGAACCATCAACAAAATAAACACCAACATTGAGATTATGTCCCACATCCTTGGCTCGTTTTAGAAAACTGTGGAATTTGTTCAAGGTTCGAACGACTAATTGCTTCACTGCATAAAAACAAAGGATCTCTCTATTACCCGACTGATCTGTCTACTGCTGTGGGCCGACGATTTGCATCTGGGCCTATTTATAATGGCTCCACCCTTTTTGTGACGCCATGCATTTGTGCAGTAGGTGCAGACGGATCGGAAGGATATGTCGCCTACTATATTAAATTACTGGTTTAATGTATTTGTTATCTTTATCCTTGTCTAATTTGGCTTTTTGCAGCCCAATTTCAAGAATAAAAGCAAACTTTACTACTGATGGGAGCGTGGAATTTGTTCGGTGTTCGATCCCCGGCCGCGGCATACCAAAAGACGTTAAAAGATGGTACTTGTTGTTACCCTGTCTGACGCTCGGCATTAAGGGCTAAAACAAGGACTAGTCGGCTCTGAGTACTGTGTCTAATTGGGGTATTCATGTTAAACTGCAGCATTGTATCTCAATGTGGTAGCACTATAAATCAGCATCAGTCCGGACTTGTACAAGCAGACACACGCACGCACGCACGCACGCACGCACGCACGCACGTACGCGAGCATGCACGTCACTTACTATATAAGTGCAATAATCTTGGACGCGACATTAAACCCCATGTCACCTCACCTACTTCTGATAGAGGTGTCATATTCTCCAGATCGGATCCGGTTTACAAAAGCGTTGAGTAATTACAATGTTCATATCACCATGGTAGCCTGTTATTGTGAAAGGCAAGTGTATTTTAGTATTTACGTTATATACATACACAACTACATTTCAGGTGTGCAGGTTGGAAACCTCATAACATTATGTGTTCAAGATATTTAGGGTGATTCACTTAAACAGCTGAAGCATTTCAAAACATCAGCTTATATGCTTTCTTCAAAATATTTTATGCATACGTGAACCCAGTTTTTATGAACATATTTTAGCTGTACAAAATATAATCAGCTGCTTGTCAGCAATCTCTAGATCCGCCTCGGCAGGCCGTCATTTTCACACCTGTTTTGCAAGTGTGTCATGTCTCATTGCCTGCCCGTGGCCTACATACAGGCCAACCCGTAGATAGTTAATATACTTCCTTAACTGTCATCTAACAGTTTTCAAACTGTGATCGTCCTATTTGCTACTATGGGTGGTGTCCAAATCGGATGTGTTATCCTTATCTTGGTAACATTTGGTAAGTATGAGTTAACAAGATATTGTTCAGGCTGACTTGATGACAAACGGGTTTTCTCCATCTAAGTGTACACTGCCCTGCAGACGGGCCCAAGTCTGAAAGCCTTTTCCACAAAACAAATATAACAGAAAGGTTGGCGAGTTAAAATCAAAGTAAGATCGATGTAAGGTAGCTTTGTGAAACTTGTATCACTCCAGACAAACGTAAGCTTAATTAGTTTAACCTCTGTGGTTACCTGACCTAATGCTGTTTTTGGGAACGGTCTCTCGTCCATCAGAGAATGGCCATAGGTCCATTACACTGTTATGTACACCCGTGTAATTGGAACCTAGCATTATTAGTTTAGTAGCAGCTGTTGCATTATCTACATTTGTAGCTGTAATGGATTAGAATTATGATAAAACTTCCCCAAAGTTATCTATTACCGTCCACGAGGTGTTTCCTGGCCAGTGTCACACTGACCTAATAATTATAACTGATCGAGATTGTTTGTGTGAATAACTTACAATGCGTTGTTGTTTGATTTTATTTTGTTGGTTTAGGGATATTACCATGGTAGGGACACATGCCAGCCATTTTAGCTATGACTGTAACTGTAACACCTTTTTTTAAGAAAGCCCTCGGTTTGTCCATCTGCTCTCCTCGTCAGGCAGACCTGACTGACAACGCCATGAATAATATGGTTACCCTTACAACGTCAGTAATCACGTCTTGTGAACTTGTGATATTAATATTCCTAGATTGACATGACTAAGTACCTGCTTTTCATGACACGCGTGTGATGGATTACTTTACGTTTTGTAATAGAAAGTCAATATTTGTTGTGTCACGTTGAAGTAAATAAGCTTATAAATAGCCGCGCAACAGCTTCTACTTTACATGCCATGTCGAGATCGGTATCAATAACTGGACTCGTTCTACCATGGCCACATGAGTCATACAATGTACACACCTCTTTAATTCAATGTTTTGATTTTCTTGATCATTTGCAGCTCATGCCTTTGAAATATGCTCCGAGAAACAATTCGACGGGACTTATAAGACAAAGACCTGCCTTAACTCGTGTTGTGGCGTCACGTACTTTAAGTACTGTTGTAGCTCGAGGTGAGTCTTTAATAACACATAAATGCAGTCAGAGCAGGATGCTAGCTGAATAGCTCGTGGGTATTGATAACACTCTGCGGGTTGTACTCACACTGTAGACACGCAACTGCTTTTGTTATTCAATGTAGGCGACGAACTTGAAATATTATGTTTACCAACACGAAGGGCATGACCAGAAGTGCATTCTCACGAGCACTTACATGCGGAGATGTTGTCAAGCTGTTGCCAAGATGTTTGTGTATTGCTCATTAAAGTTTTATCTATTCGAAAAAAAACTTTTCTGCAGTTAAAACATTTATCCCATATACACATCGTGTGGGACGGACTTAAAACTGTTTAACATCAACCGAAAGGTTTTCCCTCAAAAGGTCATCCATGCCCAGGGATTGCAATTTATTTGATGCATGTGTGCTAACTGTTTTAACAACCGTTCCTGATATATTACTGATATATGCATTCTGAATACTTGACTTATTGGACTGAAGTTCGCTCAGCCATAAAGTATGACTACTACTAATTTTGTGATGTTTATGAAGTAAAAGTGAAATCCTTTGTTGAAGATATTACATGTCATAGAGGTATATCCACGAAAACTTGAGTCAGTTGAGCAAATTAATTTTCTTTGACAAGTAAGTACAATAAGCATGGGTCTGTGACCTTTACAAAATGTACAAACTTGAGAAACGTGGAGGAACCACAGAATCGCAGATCACACAGAACTGAATTAACACAAAAACCTGCATACACATTATATAAGATAGATGCATGTATGTACATTTGAGGTGAACAAATGAGAGTTAATTAAAATCCAGTTATACTGGTATTCCTTCACTCCATGTGGTTATATTCATAGTTGGGCGTACTTCAATGAAAAATCAAACGTTTGATAAGATAGTGTCCATGGTGAGGTCATTACCTGTTTTCAGTGTGTGTAGTTCCAGACCAAAATGGTATCTCTGATCCTGACCGTGATCACTGTGTTTCAGCATCAGCACCAGAACCACTTACTTCACCACATCCTACACGTGGACCACAGGAGCCATTGTCGGCATCGTCATTGGCGTAATCGCGTTCATCGGTCTCATCGTGGGAATCATCATCTGCTGTGTCTGCTGTTGTAGGTCATCACAAGGACAAAGAGGTCACGTAGTGCAAAACCAACAACAAATGACTGTAGTATCAGGTATGACAACCGCTCACCATTGATTTTACCAAAACCCTCCGCTAGGTTATTCAACTGGTCCTCCATATTTACACATATCCAATGATATATTACCAGGCTGATTTACAGATACAGTCTACCCACTAGGGTTGTTCAAGAGATGTGGAGACAATGCACAACACAAAGTCAACCAACAAGGTGTAATGTTTGAGGATATCACAGTATTGAGAAGGATACACGTAGACGTTGATAGGAATGGTATTTTACCAACTCTTCATTTTGTTCACTTGGTTGCCATCAAAAGGTGTGCCAGACAATGCGTCACACACAATGCTCAATTTTAGACCTATGTATTTTCAGCTGTTTAAATTACTAAACATATTATTAAAATGTGTATGTAGTGTAAGTGTATTAACTTCAAGCTACGTGTGTCCGGGTATGAAGGTTGTATGTTATAACTTTTCCTGCTTTATAATTAACACATCGTACAGGTTGTGATTCTGGTTCCTGTTGTGCTGTGGGTGAGGAGACGGGCGACCTCCTGAGAACTGGCTGAATATGTGGCACCGTGCTGTGTTGACATGGATCACATGTGTCCTCGTACCCTGAATGCAATGATCACGTGTTCTCGTACCCTGATGGCATCAATCATGCGTGACATTGTACCCTTATGGAGTTGATTATTGTTTCACTCGTTAGCTGGGGCGGTCGGGTAGCGAAGTGGTTGGAGCGTTCGCTTGTCACGCCGAAGACCCAAGGTTCGAATCCCGACATGGGTACAATGTGTGAAGCCCATTTCTGGTGTCCCCCGCCATGCTATTGCTGGAATATTGCTAAAAGCGGCGTTAAACCATGCCCACTCACCCATTCGTTAGCTTAATGATGCTATTCCCTTTTCAGGAACAACAAACACATCATATACTCCTGGGTATGGCTACCCAGCTCAAGCGACTCCAGGGGCATACCCACCTGCTCCAAACTACGCTCAACCTCAGAAGGGAACATACCCGCAAGGTGCAGCATACCCACCCCCACAAGGTGGAGTATACCCACCCCCACAAAGTGCAGCATACCCACCCCCACAAGGTGGTGTATAATCGGAGTGTAACTTCCCCAACAAGGAGCTACCTTTTCCCCACCAAGGGCAGTTGCCACCCTCCAGCTTTCGAAGATATAATATTATTTCGAATTATATAATTAGCACCATAAAAGAACGTTACGAAATTCAAATGCTAGCACATATCCCACATGATGTTACACAATATCATCACTTACTTATCGAACGCTTCATCTCATGGCAGCAATATTTGTTGGTGACAAGAGCTTCATATTTTGTAACTTTCTTCCAGTGTCTGTACATTTATAACCCGTTATGTATAATGCTTATTCTTCCGACCAACAAAGGTAACTGATGTGTTCGTTTCACGAAAAGGAAGAAAGGCATATTTAAGATGTGTACCAGTGCTTTGTGTATATTTAATGTTTTTTAAGTGTGTTTGTCCATATAATACATATCATATCGACTACTTTTCCACACTGTAACTAGACAAATCCATTTCAACCTTCAACAATAAAAGTATTTTTCTACAATTTGAATTCTTGAATTGTTTTCTGTTAACACTACAGTCAGTGGTACCTGCACTACAATTTGGAAGTGTGTGTGTGTGCCGACAGTCAGTGATACTTGTACTACACGTTGGACGTGGGGGCCGCCTCTGTTGTCACTACAGTCAGAGATACTTGTACTGCACGTTGTACGTGGGGGACCGCCTCTGTTGTCACTACATTCAGTGATACTTGTACTACACGTTGTACGTGGGGGAGCGCCTCTGTTGTCACTACATTCAGTGATACTTGTACTACACGTTGTACGTGGGGGACCGCCTCTGTTGTCACTACATTCAGTGATACTTGTACTACACGTTGTACGTGGGGGACCGCCTCTGTTGTCACTACAGTCAGTGATACTTGTACTACACGTTGGACGTGGGGGACCACCTCTGTTGTCACTACAGTCAGTGATACTTGTCCTACACGTTGGACGTGGGGACGGCCTCTGTTGTCACTACAGTCACTGATACTTGTCCTACACGTTGGACGTGGGGGACCGCCTCTGTTGTCACTACAGTCACTGATACTTGTACTACACGTTGGATGTGGGGCACCGCCTCTGTTCTCACTACAGACAGTGATACTTGTACTACACGTTGGATGTGGGGCACAGCCTCTGTTGTCACTACAGTCAGTGATACTTGTACTACACGTTGGACGTTGGGGACCGCCTCTGTTGTCAGTACAGACAATGATACTTGTACTACACGTTGGACGTGGGGGACCACCTCTGTTGTCACTACAGTCAGTGATACTTGATCTACACGTTGGACGTGGGGTACCGCCTCTGTTGTCACTACAGTCAGTGATACTTGTGCTGCACGTTGGACGTGAGGGACCGCCTCTGTTGTCACTACAGTCAGTGATACCTGTACTACACGTTGGACGTGGGGACCTCCTCTGTTGTCACTACAGTCAGTGATACTTGTACTACATGTTGGACGTGAGGGAGCGCCTCTGTTGTCACTACAGTCACTGATACTTGAACTGCACGTTGGACGTGGGACAGCCTCTGTTGTCACTACAGTCACTGATACTTGAACCGCACGTTGGACGTGGGACCGCCTCTTTTGTCTCTACAGTCAGTGATACTTGTGCTACACGTTGGACGTGGGACCGCCTCTTTTGTCACTACAGTCAGTGATACTTGATCTACACGTTGGACGTGGGGACCTCCTCTGTTGTCACTACAGTCAGTGATACTTGTGCTACACGTTGGAACTTTGGGATGGCCTATACATGTTTCACAGCCATAAATTACACACAAAACACATGATTTTCAAACGAATAATTTCGAAAGGTGAAAAGGTACAGTCTTACAGAAAACGTTTGCGGTCACTCTTCATCTTGTATTAACTAAAGTGTACAATTATTCCAGCTTATTAAATCCGTATAAGACTACATTAAACAATGTTTATAACAAACATGCCTTTAACGAACTTAACGGGAACTTGGTCCCGTCCATTTGATGTATGTATGCTGTTAAACACATACATAAACTAGCAAACTAACTACTTTATCCAAGCGGAAGACATAGTATCAAAATGAAGCGCTGAACATTAGCTATCCAACGGTATGATTACCGATTCACAACAAGCTATGTACAATTATTGAGGAGGCAAAAACGATCACAAATACATTCGAAACATCTGTAACTACATGTACATGGATCTTCCCCTTATGTTTCAAAATCATAGTCACAAAAACAATTTCAAAACATGAATAAGGCAGCAAACATGAATGACAAAACATACATCAAGTCTATGAATGGTAAGAGTGTGCCATTAAATCACCCGGGAAGAAAATATAATGGCAATTAATTCTCCAACAAAGAAAGCAAAGAACTGATCAACGATGACAGCCGGACTTTGCCAGACGATGTCGGAAATTGGATAATAAAAGCCAGAGAGCTGTGTGGTCGCTAGAACGTGACAAGACCATTTTATGACCCGATGACAATGAGATTGTGGTTGTATTTTTTTCCAAACACCTTACATTCCAACCAGCTTTGAATATTAAAGATTCTTTGTTGTTTAGCACCGCACCCCGCACATAGGTGTTGTACGTGTAGGAGAAATCATGTCTCTGAGGGATTACTAGAGACTGTAAACCCTCACATGAGGGAACGCCCTGAGGGTGTGTGTGTATGTGTGTACGCGCACGTGTATGGGAATGGTGTGTGTGTGTGTGTGTGTGTGTGTGTGTGGAGGGGTGGGTAGGGTGGAGGTGTGGTGTGGATGGTTGTACTAGTCTGGACTATTGTCGATTGTTTTGTTAGCCCACTGAGATACCATTCCGCAGTTTAACATGAATACCCCACTGAGACACAGTATACTGACTCCGAGACGACCAGTCCATGAATACATAGTGTTAACTTTAAAACGATTATGGATGCTGTCGAACACATGCCAAACAATGGGCCAAAAGAGAAGCTGAACCTGATGAATGTATTTCAGGGTGCGTTAACCCAGAGCGTAATGTCATTGTAAGAATGCATAAACTTGAAAAGGAAAAAAATCAGAATTGGAATAAACCCATTCTATCCCACAGCTGGAATCGTACCTGTTTGTTTGTTGTTTAACACTGCACTCAGCATTATTCTAGCTATAGGACGGCGGTCTGTAAATAATTGAATCTGGACCAGACAATCCAGTGATTGATATCATGAGCAGCGATCTACGCAAATGAATATACATGTCGGGTTTGGTGCTTGCAAACAGACAACAGATTACAATCGGTCCCTGATCTTGAGTTTTAACCTACAACCAATGGATCCAAACAACTGCACATACGGCCCATTATTATTATCATGTAACTTTTAATCAAATCCTTTCCTTGTTAAATGATACATGCACTGTCACATTAAACATGTCACACACTATAATATTTGTATTTTGAATGGACATTAAACAGACAGAACAGTATAGGAAATTATACCCCAGTTCCGGTCTGGTTGCATGATTTCCTGGGTTAAAACCATAGTATAGTCACTTATAAACCACTCCTTATCACCTATAAGTGTATATGATTCCCAATAACACTCCTGCACTTGCCATGTAGATACTCTTCACGTAAATACATGCACACATTTCTTGAACTGAATTGAGTCCAAGAGTGTTCGGATTGTCAAGCCACTTTATCCTGGGTGAGCGGCATAGAAATGTTACAGAATGAATATTTTATGTCCTTTTAAGTTACTTGGTGACTCAAGAAGTAGCTAGCCCTTGGCCTGCTCCTGTTTGTTTAGTAACCAAGAGAGATTGATCCTGCAGGTTCTTTATTGATGTTAGGCAGTTAAATGACATCGCTTTACGAGGTGCCTTTACTTTGCCCCGAATAGAGAAAACTCTGGAGAGTGGTTGTCAATTGTTTATTACCCTTGATTTAGCTCGCGGATATTGGCAAGTCAAAATGGATCCGAAACTTAATCATGTAACTGCTTTTGCTTCTTACGGACTTAATAACTTCAATGTCTTTCCATTTGGGATCACTTTCGAAAGCTTAATGGACAAGGTACAGGGAAAATTAAAGTTGAAAAGTCTCTGTGTGACCTAGACAACGTCATCTTTTGGGTCAGATTTTCTGTCAACTTTAAACAATCTTAGACTGTTTTTTATCCAGTATCGACAGGCTAATTCGAAACTATGTTCTTTGAATCTGAGGTATCATCACACACTAAAACTTACCAATCCAAATACATCACACTTTTTATGGATACCAACTTCTTCTATACTGTGTAACAGGTGGATACAGAGTAAGCATATAGAGTTAATATATATATACATAAAAATTGTATGAGTTTATTGGAGTATGAACCTTCATAGAGTGACGGTCAAACTGTATGAACGTCGGAGCTTGTGACAGTTCTTTTAATTTTTATATCACTATTTTATACCTTGAGGGATGTTTGACTCAATTCCATTTAGTAGGTGTGATTTCATGTTTACACTGACAGCCATACAACAAACAGCTGTATCGTGGAATGAAGTTCCTCAAAAGGAGAGGTGACATGAGTATTATACATATGTATTTGTACTCACATTTTTGTTCTGCAGTGACATATTTTGTTTGTTTCCAACAAATATATTTATAAATAAAGACTTCATTGGATGAAAAGGTCTGTTTAGAAGTACTTCAGTAACTCTGTCTCAACACATTTACATCAAGTACAAAACGTCAAGAGTGCCGACAGCAGAGAAAGGTTTTCAAAGTTGTTAATTAACCTGTGGAAATTACAAGTGGTGGTCATCATTGATCATTTGGTCGATCATTAAAAGGTGGTTGTAAAAATGTGGCAAATAGATACTGAGGCAATTCGTAGATGCTGCAGATTGTCACTCTCAGTCTTAACACAGACCGAGTCCATACTACGATAGTCTGGATGTGCATTTGTTTCTTTTTGATCACTTGGATGGTTCGTGAATGCTCATACACAGGCAAACTCACTGACTTCTCTTAATGTGGGCTAAAACGCTGAGTTCCAGTTTAATTGGTCTACAATGGTCAGAAACAACATGCATCCATATGTATTCATGCTAGGGATTGCCCCAGGAAGGGGCGGTCAGTTAACCTAGTGGTTAAAGCGTTCGCTCCTCACGCTGAAGACCCAGGTTCGATTCCCGACATGTGTGAAGCCCATTTGGGTGTCCCCCGCAGTGGTATTGCTGGAATATTGCTACAAGTGGCGTAAAACCTCACTCACACATTCACCCAGGAATGTGCAAGTAGTCCATTGCTGTTTACATAATTTCAAGAATATAACCTCGTGAAAACCGTGTAAACATCAAAATGTGTCATTCAGACTCTTATGAACGTCAGTTTCGCTGTTATGTGACTGGACTCTGGTCCAATGTACAAGTCACATCACGTGTGAACTGCATGTTATATAAATATATGATGATATGTTTACACAAGGTAGGATTAATAGATAACAATACAATACAAAGATAACAATATAATTTCCTTTTACCAGTGACTGA